GTTGTCTTGGATATCACCATCCATATGTAACCTGCAAGTTCACTGAAAGATGAGGCAGATGAAGGACAAAGATGAAATCATTTGGCAATGGACTTCAAGGGTATTGAGAGGATAACTGGCATGTCTTGCACCCCAGGAGGTATTGCTTTTAATTAAAAGAACTGAAATTGCCTCATGATGCACAACGCCAGACCAGCCAAAAGGACTCATAATACTACAAAAGGATGTTCACAGGGAGATGGCATCAGATGACTGATAATTATTTTCATGTCTAATTTCTATGTTTAAAGAGGCCCGTAAATCCCCAATTTTATATTAAAGTTGTATTTCATTCACAGCCAGGTTTTAACTTGAAGAACAACTGAGGGGTAACAGAACCAACCAGAATGCTGAATGTAGTTTTTAATAAATCAACTTTGAAGAAAGGCATCATCTCTCAGGAACCGCATTTCTTGCACAAATAGCACAGAAAATGGTCTGGGCTCCTAACTTGAGCCCTTGCCTATATGTGTGCCCTCAAAACCAGATCCCCTGACTGTACAGGCTGTGAGCTTCTGAGCATGAGCAAAATTCAGCAGATATGAGAAATGACTGATGGATGAATGGCTCTGCCAGACACATCAGAGCAGTCCACAAGGTAACCCCATAAAATGAAGCCAGAACACTCATGCTTGCCTTACTGCAAGAAATACTCTCTTAGAGCAAAGCTGACACTGGCTGGAGATGCAATGCTTGCAATGCTCCTCTATTCCTAGCTCAGTTACTTCTGTACACATCCAATGGAGCAGACCCCGTGGAATGACAGAACATGAAGCCAAGTCTAGATTTATCATATTTCAGGATGTCAGAAAACCTAACATTATCCTAACCAATGAAAAGCAGGAGTGCCATCCACTTGAAGTGGATATATTTTGCTATGGCTTTTACCCCAACCTTTCCTGCACAGCACATTTCAATCTTGTGACCCAAGCACGACTGGTGCTTGTTATTCAAGCTGTCACATCCGTGAAGGAGGAAGTAGGGCTGGCATTAGCAATTTGTTGCTTACTCATGTAGTCAGGCCTATGACAAGAAGACCCATCCCAAAAGGAGGATCCAGCCCTTGAGGCTGGCACATTTAGAACACACTGGTCGACAGAAAGATTCCTGCATATTAGGCATGCACCTTCTTCATGGTGTTCTGTGGCTATATTTTCACTTCTTACTGCCCATAGATAAAGATGTGATGAACATGGTTTGACAGGGAAGGTTTAGATTGGGATCTTCTTATGTCAAATAACTAAAGACAATCATTCCTTATGTCACTTATTCCCTCACCATATGACCAAAAGCATTTTCCCAGCTAAAATGCTGACATTCTCCATCATACAATGGGTTCACTTCTGATTGCATGCTAGGGAACAAATGCCTTCATCCCATGTCTCCATCAGTACCTGTCCAGTCACAGGAGATCCCATCCTTTCATATATTGAGAGATTAACAGATTTGACAGTTGAACCACAAGTGGACTGTTGTTCACACTATAGAATAATCAGTAGAATGGCCAGAGAAATTCCTCTGCTACCTTGCATCTGGCTCCAGCTTTGGTTCTTCACTTTACTGAAAGGATTTGCTCCCAAACAGGTGGAATAACAGGGTTTCTCACACAGCTGCTGACTGTCCCTGCTTCATTCCCTGATTTAGCTGCCCTTCAGAAGAACAGAGAAGTGGCAGGAAAATTGCTAGTACAATAGATGACTATCAACTTCTGCTGTTGCTTCTCTTAGTTCACAGATATTCAGTTATTAAAAATGTAAGAATACCCTGTATTTTAGGTCACCTTCCTTTCAGGTCCTTCATCACTAAATGTTGTCATAGTTTTCTTTTAGATCATACTAGTAACCTAGTTCAGAAAGCTCCATCACAACACGGTTTATAACTGGTCTGTGAAACATGAGGACCAAAAAGTTGTCTTTGTTTTTTGACTATTCATCCCAAGTTAAAAGCACATGCAGAAAGTTCTTCATGCTTTAAATAATTAAATCACCAAGTAGGAAACCCACCTGAGCTTTAAAACAAACTCACCATGCATTACTGATGATCTCTGAAGGGGCTGCCAGGTGAGAAGGAACATGGTAAAGACAAAGGAAGTCTGTTCAGCAGCTTTTATATCCTGTAATGCAAAATAGCTCTCTAAATCCTAACAGAAATCACCATTCCTTACCTTACCCTAGTAAAGAAGACAAAGAGCACAGGGAGAACAGAGCTTGCATGGCTTATGGCTTTTAGAAATTACCTGCCAAGAGTCTAATTTTAAAGTGATTGTCTCCATTAGGGCTACAATAAACAGCATGGTGGAAAATTCAATCTGATTAGCTTTTCTAATGAGCTGCAGGAGGTTGTGGAGGCCAGAGCAGAAGAATCTTAAACATTTCACCACTGATTACAAACCTGCCTCTGAATTAATCAGATAATGAAGTGCGTGGATTTAATGAACCTAATGCTGATCAACAAATTATCAGTGATCCTTGTAGATTTTTGTCAGGCTAAACACCTTTTTTTCTAAGACTTCCTAGAGCAGGAAGGTTACAAAACCTTGTGCTCTTGAGGTAGATTTTTATGCAATAACCAGTAGTTGTAAACTTTGTAATTTACACAATTATTTAATTTACTCACAATGTGCTCAAGTTCCTGTTGGGGCTCCAGGAGGGCTGTTGTTATCACAGATACAATTTAATTGAGACAACAGCAATTAAAGAGACGAGCTAAATCCTGAGGACTTTTACTACAATCTCACTGGAACAAATGGAGCTCGTACTCTGGAAATGAGAGCACAACAGGTTTTAGATATTGCCAGTGTACTATGTGCAAACCCAAATTCCTAAACCCAAACTACCTCTTTGGTAGATTTTAATTAGCTACTTCCATTTTGCAACAGAAAAACTGGCCATAGTATCCCAAAGCAGTTGTATCTAGCTGGGTGTAGAACAAAACAGATAAATGCTATTGGTACTCAACATTATATTTAAGTGTCAGCAACCCCAGTGCTCCCTGTGAGGTTAACACTTTTATTACACCTTATCAGCCTGATACCTATTTCTTGTGAGACACAGACCTTTAAGGCACAGCGAGAAATGGTTTCACTTGCTGTTTCTTCTGTTTTGGAATGCTCTGCTTTTGGGATTTCTTTTCATTTTCTGCTTAGTCACCAACTTAATACTCACTGAAAGATCAAAGCCATTACTGTTAAAATCTAATATACTGCTCTTGGCTACTGACAGAGTCAGGGTATGGACTAGACAGACCTTTGCTCTGATCCAGTATGGCAGGTCTTATGTTCTTATTATGACTTAAAATTTACTTTCCCCACAGGGATGTGCTTGTAGAAGTCCATCTGTCAAGTGATTCATGAGAAGTGGACATAAAAGAGAACCGAATATGACTAACTGAATACATTAAAAAAAATTAAACAAGTATTCCTGACAAACGAACACTTGAAAGATCTTAAATAAAACCCTAAGCACTTGGATTTGCCACCTCTCTAGTATCTGTTTTGCATCTTAAACAGTTGCACCTTTGATGAAACATTTTTTTAACGTTATGTATTGCCCTTTCCGTAGAAAAAAACATATGTGGCTTTTCCTTTCTATCTCAGTTGTTTTGGATTAAAGAAGAAGAGACAATTACAGCAATATCAAAGAAAGAGACAGAAGCAATCGCATGGATCAAATTATTATCTCATTGAAATCCAGGGGCCTGTTACTTGCAAGCTCAGTCAGACCAGGATTCATCCCCAGTGCCTGGAACAGTGGCAAATTGGTTTTAAACCTTGTGCATTACTCATCTGTGCCCAATATGATTTATCCTGCAATGTTAGGGTTTTGGAATTTGCCTGAATGGCTTTCAATAACAATAGCTCTGGAAATCAAAAATACTCTGAATAAAAGAGCCCAACTTCTTTTGTAAAGTAAATTTTGTTAGAAATTTCATTTCTATTTCAGTTACTGACTTTGAATGTTCAGAGTCACTGTGAAGGCAGAGCCGATTGATAGACTATTTGCAACATTTGTTATTGAGGAGTGGGAATAAGCTGAATTTTATAGCAATAACCATTTAATACATTATTCCCAACATCACTGTGTATGCTTTCAAGTGATGGCATGCACATGTTGTAAACATGGTATCTTTCCGATTCTGATAGGGGATAATTGTAATAGATCAACCAAACCCGCAGATATGTGACTGCATCTGGGGGTTGAATGGCATAACACTGACACTCATGAAATAATCAAATAATCTCATTTTCCTGCCAACCGCAAGCTAAACATTGCTCACTGTGCTTTTGAGGTTGAAATACATCTCTAAAATGTCTTCTTCTAAGTACAGTTTTGAACATCGGCTGTACCATAGCTTTGGAGTTTTCATGACAGGCTTAGTTTACAATGCTAGAAAACAGGATGCTGGAGCATCAGCAAGCTTTTCAAAACCCCTAAAAGAACAGGAATTCTGATGGATACTATCTTAAGTGAAATGAAAAGATGACAACATCCCAAAAGAAACAAAGATGAAAAGTGGGGAGTACTTCATGTCTCATCCTGTTAGCAATGCTCAGCAAAGCTCTACACAAGTAAACTGAGAATAACCTGGAGAACCAAATTAATAAACCTGGGAGTCAAAAAAGTAAAACTTAGTTTGACTGTGTTATTCATGTTAGATTCACAGTATTTGTTAACTTGATTCGTTAACCAAAGAGAGACTAACCTAAAACATTTCTCACTGGAATTTGGACACTTTGGAACTGTTTCTTGCTGTGCTGATTTACTTATTCTTCCCCACATCTCTTTATGGGAATTCTATAATGGATGTGAAACAGCTTTACACTCCCTGCTCAATGAATTGGTTATTTCTCAAGATGAAATACTTAAAAAAGGATTGTGGTAGATGATGCCTACTTTTGGAACCTCTGAATTTCCAAGGTATTTTTCATATTGAAACTATGACTAATATTTTTATTTTGTGTCTGATGTCAGTTGTTCTTTTTCTAGATCAGTTGGGTATATTTGGTTAACGCATTTCTAGTTATTTTGGGGTAGTCCATGCAGGCTGAGGCCACTTTCAGGAAGCCCATTAATAAGCTACTAAGACCTCACAAGTTTCAGAAGGCAAAGATATATACAGAAATAGGACAAAATGCTTATCTTCCGCAAGTCATAGAAAGGATTGTGTCTAAATTCAGGCTCAAGGTGGCAGTTTGGGTTTGTTTATTTGTTTTTGCTTTTTTTCTTTCTTGAGAGGAAAACCAGTGGCAGCTGTATGTGTTCATATCTCAGGCTCACTGAACTTTTCCTTTTATTTCAGGGGGGTAGATTTGGTCATGGAACTTCAGTCTTCCCAACAGTGAGATTTAAATACCTATTTTGGTACTAAACAATCAGCATTTTTTCTGTGGACCTCTGCTGGTTCTTCCACATATCCCATCCTCTGAATCACAAGAATTTCTGTTTGGGCATTTTTCAGATACTTGTAAAAACACAGGGCTGGACAGATCCTCAGGATGTACCGATGACCTGAGCTCTCTGTAAGCTGCAGTCAGTGGGGATTCTTGAGACAGAAGGTGTTTTCCATATCCCACCTACCTGTCCAAACAGTGAGTAGGGAAAAAGAATAATAAAAATAATAGGTAGCTCAGACCTGGAAAACGGCTGTTTGATTTAAAAATTCTCCCTCTCTGGGATTCCATAGCCTTCCCTGACAACCTGTTCCACTGCTCAAGTGTGCTATCCACACACCCAGAAATGATGTGCTACCATTTAACCTAATACCCCTTGGTGTAAACTAGCCAACTCTTTCTTATTGTGTGTTAGGGAACCTAAGAAGTGACAGTTGACATTTAAAAAAACACCATCATCATTTTTGGAGGCTTGTAGCTTCCCTCATTACTCTTCTAAATTTAATAACGACGGTTGTTTCAACCTGTCCCCCAGGCCAGGTTTCCTACATCTCTTAGCACTTTAGTTCTTCCTCTTTCTCCCTCCCTTCCTCTCTCCCCAGTTTTGCGCTGTTCAAACTGCAGAGTTCAGAACTAGATGCAGGAATCTGACTCAAGTCTTACAAGTGCCAAACAGTGCAGATCAATCACCCCCTATTTCCATATGTGCTTTTTGCAGACACAGTCGGGGACAACTCTTCGTGCCATCCAGCTACTCATCCACTACATTCCTGTGCACTTATCTCATGAGGAACACAAGTATTGCCACAAGTAACCAAGAGGAAAAGTCATTCTTGATTTTAAAGTTAATTAAATGGCTGAGAGTTAGCAAATTTCCATGTGTCCCAACCCCGAGCAGGCTCAGCATCATTCCAGCTGTGTGCTAGGATAAGTGTAAGAAGGCAGTCCAGAAAAGTCTGTTTACTAGAGCATTATGATGGGTCAAAGAAAGTTCTTGGCAGGCTACACAAGCTCATGGGTCAGATGTTATGCAGTCCTGTTTTATGTCTTGTCTTTTATATGTTAAATTCTTGGGAAGCTGGGAAAGGAGAGAAGAGGAGAAAAGAGGAGAGGAGAGAGATGTTCTTTGGACAATATAAGAGCAGTTTATAATAATAAATGCATGGAGAGGATTAAATTCACTGCTGTCATCAGCTTCTCTGACTCTCTTAATTTAAATGAACTTCTGTCCTTTTACTCCAACCTGACCAGATCTCCTGGCAAATACTTTCGAAAGCTTCCAGAGTATCCAGTCACAGAACTGGGGACATGCTAGATTAACTGCTTGTACAGATCTGAGTGACCCAACTGTCACATGTTCACTAACCACTGGGGCCTGCTGGCACCGTGGACCTGTGGCTGCTTTCTCGGTCCTGCAGAACGGTGCAGGCTGCAAGTCAAATCCACTTTAGCTGAGCAAAGCAGCTCGTGTGCCATTTTTTGAATATACAGCTCTATAAATCTCAGTATGGCCTTTGGAACTGTATATTACTACAGAACTGTGGGAAACCCCTTTTGGGAGAGAAGTGGCACAGTTGATATTTAATCACTGCAAAGTCTATTGCAACACACTGTCTCTTTCCTTTGAAATAAAAGCTTTTGAATTACAGATGATCAAATATATTCACACCCCAAGCGAAACCAGAATATTTCTGGCCTTTTGCCAGTATCGGCTTGGGTGTAAAATATTTGACATTTTGCATTAATTTTTTACAGTAATAAAAGCACTTCCTCAGCTAAAATCTCCTTTGCCATCCAGCAAATGCCACTGGGCTTGCAGTTAGATTAGACGCATACGAGTAAATCCATAGGTCTTATGACTGTGAAGAACAGTAGTTCTGGGCATTGTGCTACATGACTGCTTATAGATGCCACCATGGTACAGTCATCGACCACATCTACAATTTGACAGATTAGCAACAAGCAATGCTTTGAGATATACTTTACTAAAAGTAATTACATTAATCTATGCACGTGACCAGTGAACAAGGCTGCTATACTGTGTGCGATGTGGCTGAGTTAGCACTGATACAGGCATCTTAGCTCAGCATTTCCAAAATCTCTAGCTCTGCAACCTGAATGTTGCATTAACTTACCTTCTTCTTTCATGTATTGACATTTCATTCCTTTGGGGAAGGAGGCACAAGATTTTAACGAACTGAGAAAGACGATGTTAACCTTATAAGAGGGATCAGTCGCAGAGTGAGTTATGAGTTCATTTCTAACACCTGTTGTCATTGCAGTGTTGCTACTAACAGGGTAAGTATTCCTCTCTCCGGGAAACAAGGAGTCACCCCCTTAAACCCTGCTCTTGTACAGTGCAGGGAACTGGGGATGGCAAATCTGTGAGGGCCCGCAGAGCAGAGGCTGACAGAGATCAGCTCCCTGAGCTTCCCAGCTCCTGCTGAGGCACAGTGAGGGAACAGATCACACCACCTCTGCAGGACCTCAGAGGCATTTGCTTTCTCTTTTCTTCCTGAGAGAACAGCTCTCAGCCTTACTTCCAATGTCTCAACCAAATTGTCTTAGCTGTAATTAAACAGAGAGGGAGAAAAAGTATTTCCTTTCCTGCTACAACAGTCACATCTAGCATTCTATTTATCTCTGAGCAGAGATCTGAACTCAGAATGTGTGACACACGGGACAGAAAGAATGCTGCCACTTGCGGCTCTGCATTCTTAAAAAGGAACATTGCTGGGTATGAGATTTAGACTCTCACTTCTGGCTCATTTGAAGACAGCCACCTTGGGCCTGATTTACAAAGGTAGCAAGGTCCCTCATGGTGCAGACAGGAATCCAAGACCCTGAGTCATGCAAGTCTGTAAAACTATGATCTGAACAGGAGTTTTGTGTTCAAACTTCGGGACTTCTGTTCTCTTCCCATAGGTGCTTAAGTGCCATTGTGAATCAGGAATGGTTTCATTCTTCAAATGCTCTCTTTATTGAAAGGAGTAAATAACTGCTGTTTGCCTCTTTACACAGGAAAAATTGCACCATGACACCCAGACCTACAAGCTCTCCAAATCATGGGAGCTTCCCTTACAGTTAGCACACCATGAACAACAGGACTGCAGTCTGCAAGAGTGTTGTGTTTGGAAGCTACCTAACTTCCACCTAACCCTGTTTTACAAATATATTTCTACCAAAAAAAAAAACCAACCCAACAAACAAAAAAAGCAACAAAAACCCCAGAAAAAAAAAAAGAAAACAAAAGGGCAAAAAGAAAAAAAAATCCCTATATCTTAAAAGTGTTCAACTATTTGTGAATGGATCTACACAGGCATCTGTTGGCCAGCAGACTTTCCTGCTCATTTATGATGTTAAGGGTTGGGATACATGACCTAGTGGGCAGGAAATTAGGCACACACACAAGTTTCCCTCTTTCTGCCTCACATAGAAACAGGATAAAGAAAACACAGGGGGGAAGGGGATGGAGCAAGAGACAATGAGAGACAGAACGGTCACAGTTGTTCCAGCTCTCCAGCACAGTTTTTACCAGCTGCCACCTCCAGCCGCGGATGTTTTGCCTGGGCTGAGGATGCTCTGGGAGAGCTCTGGCCCGTGGGAACAGCCATGTGCATGTGATGTGCAGATGAGAACAAAAGGCCCTGTGAAGCCCGTACATGCTCCACACTCTGAAATGCTGAGAGCCACTTTTAGGAGACAATTTACAGAAAAATAAAGAAGTTTACAAACTGGTTTACGAGACACTTAAATGGTTCTTGAGGGGGGGGCTTTATAATTGAATTATAAGAACAAAAGAAATCTGAGGAGCAGGCAGAGGCCTTAAAGGCCCAACATGCTTGACCTCATTTGGTTTAATTGCACTGCTGGCTCTCTCAGTATAACCTTCAGTTGGAGAACAGTCTCTGGAAATCATTTAAACTCCTTGCTTCAGTTGCCTTTGTTAGTGATTTAGTCAATAATTTTATTAGCTCTTTGGTAAGATAGATCTGAGTGCCCCAGTCTTTAATTAAAAGCCTCTTAGGTTTGAATCTTTTAGCAATATGAACATATCTATCCAAGATCGTTATGAGAACCTTCTATATATTTTATAACTTCCTCCTAGTTATCTTGGAGATGCTGTTTTCCACAGTGAATAAACCCAGCTCCATTTGCATTGTCAGTCTGTCAGGAGCACGGCGCAGAGCTGATGGCAAGCTGAGCTCTGCAGACCTTCCCAAGCCACAGCGAGGTGCCAATGGGAGGGTGGCCAGGGCTGCGGACGTCACTGGGCAGCGACATCGAAGAAGTGTCTGCAACAAGGGCCAGGAGTGGCCAACAGAAGTACTGCAGCACTGTTAAACCAGGGTTTGGTCCTACCCTGCCACCTTAAGTACTGTAGCCTGGGGTACTGGAGAGCGGGTTTTGCCTTCCTCTGTGCTATTGGTTAAAGCAACTTCCATGCCATAGTCCCCAAGATTTTTCCCTCTCCTTGACTTTACAGATGTCAAATTTTGAGCAAGCCCTTCCTGGAAGTCTTAGCTTCAGAGTGACTTTTTTTATATCTGCCCTCCAATAACTTCTTTATTTGTAATATTTAGATAATTTTGTTTGCAGTGAGTTCCTGATTTTTCGGGTGGGTTTCTGTTCGGTCAGTGATCTCCCAGAGTCACAAATTCAGTGCACCATTTTCAATTCAAAGCAATGTGAATACTTGCAAAGCTGGAAACAGTCATTTCCCCTCTGAATATGGCTGTGGTGTTCAGTTTTCTGGGAGCAGAGCAAGGGATGGTAATGAAATGGGCACCATGAAACTCCTGGTAAGCTGATTCCATCAGGGCTCAGTCCTGCTGTGAGAGGGCTGTGGAGGATGGCCTCCTTGGGAGCACATTTTGGAAACATCTGGGTCTGATCCTACTCTGTCTCATGTTCTGAATCCTGTGCAAAGGAGGTCCACTGTGCTCTCTAATTAGATCTGCTCACCCTAACTACAAGGATGGAGTTAGGCAAAGGTACAAGCAGTGCTGAGTCCATCCTGATGGTCTCCAGCAAGACTGATGAGGAAGCTCAAATTGCAAGATAATATACTAGGAGGTGGCACTTCCTTCACCTGTGCACAGTTCTTCCAGTCTCCCCCCAGCACAGCATCCACCCAGGCAGACCTGCAGAGGAGCTCATGCAGGCTGCAGTACCCAACAGCAGGCT